TTTTTCAGCTTCTTATCCCCAGCCAGCAAGAAGGCTGGAGGGGCACAAGCAGTTGGGAGGGGACACAGCCAGGGCAGCTGACCCAAAGTGGCCAGAGGGATATTCCATACCACAGGATATCATGCCCAGTATGTAAACTGGGGGGAGTTGGCCTGGGTGCAGATCGCTGCCTAAGAACTAACTGGGCATCAGTCAGTGAGTGGTGAGCAATTGCATTGTGCATCACTTGTTTTGTATATTCCAATTCTGTTATTATTGTCATTTTATTACCATTATTATTTTCTTCATTTCTGTCCTATTAAACTGTCTTTATCTCAACCCAAGAGTTTTAGTGTTTTGGGTTTTTTTTCCACTGATTCTCTCCCCCATCCCACTGGGTTGCAGGGGAAATGAGTGAGCAGCTGCATGGTGCTTAGTTGCTGGCTGGGGTTAAACCATGACAAAGCCCCAGCCTGAACCCCTCAAAAAGGGGCCAAAATTAGTCCAGCTGTGGCTCAGACCCCCCCGGGTCCCTGTGCCTGAAATATACTCAGTGCTTGAGGAGTCACTGCTTTACTTTCTGATTCCCTCTTAAAAAAATAAAGGTGATCCTTATTCCTGGGGAACTTTTTTGCTCGTCCCTGTGATTTATGTTACACCAAGTCACTCTGCACCCGCACAGGCTTTGCTAGGGAAGCTGTTCAGCTCCGTGGGGAGTCCAAAGGGATAAAGCACAGTGTAAATGGAGCCAGGAGTAGTTTTGGTCCCAATTTTGAGACCTGTTGAAGCTCCATAAGAAAGTCACAGCTGGCCTTGCACGGTGTGGATGGGATATGCTTACCATGGGAAGCACCAGCTGCGTCTCACCCAGCTGCCTGATACCCCTGCAGCCTGGTAAACAAGCAAGACTGAGCAGGAACACAAGCTGTGTGCCAACCCATTTGTTTGCTGCATGAAAGGCTGCGATTCCTTGTACCCTGACAGCAACAGATTGCTGTTTTGGGATGGGCGCCGTGCTGCCAGCTGGTCCAGGGAGACTGGAAACAAACCATCTTCTGTGGGCTTGCAACCAAGTCCAACTGCCAAGGAGATCTCCAAAAGCTGGCTCCTTCCCCCCCAGCACCACGTAGACCTGCTGGAAGTGAAATGAGAACGGTTCCCAGAGGAAGGGACTGACTTCTGCTGACCTGGGGGCTTAACTGAGCCCTGCGCTCTTCTGCAAAGTCCCCAAGGTTCCTGGTGAGCCCAGTCCCCTCTCCATCCCTGCCAGGCTGGGGGAGGAGGTATCCCTGGGGCTGACAGCTCCAAGGCTCAACTTCAGCCATCCCGGCGACAGAGAGATCATCCATAGCACATTATCGATCTGCTCGGTGCCATGCCCGGGTCCTGGGACAATCAGGGAGCCGTCTGGCTCCGCAACACGCGCGAGGCATTTGAACAGCCGGCAGAGCCTCCCGCTTCGTGCCTAGGAATACATTATCTGCAGGCTGCGGTGAGATGAGAAAAATCATTATCCCTGTGCCTTGGCCTTTTGGGTGGAGCTCAGCACCCATCCATCAGCCCCATTGTCCTGCAGATGAGATGCTCGGCACGGAGACAGTGTCAAGGAGCTGGTCCCCCACTGGGATGCGCTCTCATGCCTTTGCCATTTGTGAAAGCAAACCAGATGGATGTGATACCCTGGCATCCGGATTTCTCAGGACACCGGTCCAAGCAGCAGCCCTGCAACAGGACGCCTCACGCCTCTGAAGTTGCCCCTCTCCATTCCCCAGCATTACTGACTCCCCAAAGTATGGATCACCCAAGTCCCGCCTGAATTTAGGAAGAAATTTAGGCTCTCAAACATCAGTTTAGGATTCAACTTCACCATGCACTGCAGGATCAACATGGGATGCTTTGAGTTGCTCAGGTTTGGACCACCAAGAGCCAAAACAACTCCAGACAGACAAGCATCTCCTACAGCTTCAGCTTGTTCCGGGCTACAGCATCCCAGGAGTGCTTTTGGAGATTAAAATGCCCTCCCAGCTCCACCCGATCCATCCCTCTTCCCCATAACCCAGCACAGCTCAGCTACCCTCCAACACATTTCCCATCATTCCAGCCCTCCCAGGAGATGGGGGGGGGCAGCATCTCCCCCCCCCAGCTTTTAATTTTTAAATAAAAACCATCCTGGCAAATACTTGCCGGGTGACGTCAGCAGCAAGTGATTTATTGCATTCCCTCTGGGGGCCCAGGAGCAAAATTGCATTTGCTAATGCCTCGCCTTACGCCCCTGGCCCAGCTCCGCATCCCACTCCGCATCCCAGCTGATTGCTATCGATTTCCACAGCTCCAAAGAGTTTCCGTCTAGACATTTGCTGAGCAAACTCAATCAGGCCTCGCTAATAAACGCTTCTGGCCAGTAAATTTTCGGCTGATCAGGGCGGGGATAGCACATCCACTTGAAAAATCAAGAGAGGCCAAGTGCTGCGAAGGGCGAGGTGTTGCTCCAGGGTCCTGAGGGTTTGCAATGCTCGGCATCCTTCCCGCAAGCGCAAGGAACAGGCAGCTGCCCTAGACAGCGGTTGAGCAGCTCAGCAGGGCTCGAGCACCCCGTAACTCCTGTGAAACACACGGACCGAGTCCCCCAGAGCCATCAGCAACACATTTATCCAGTACAGGGGAAAGAGCCGAGGCGTGAAAGGCATCCTGCAGCAGCAGACAGCCCCCACGCAGGGCACACTGCAGGGGAGAGGGATGCCAACCCAATTTTTTTACCCTACAGCCACACCGACGTAGTCACCAGGACCAAGAAGCACGTGTCCAGCATTGAGGACATCCTTGTGACTGCACCCCAGACACAAGCCACCACCTGTGGAGTCCCTTGTCACCTCTCCACTGCAGAAGCCCTTAGCTGGGGGAGCTGAGTAAGGGCTACCGGTCCCATCCCTGAGCCAGCAGCATTTGCCGGTGGCCCAGAGGCTGCAGAAGACCTTGCCATCAAGCCCACCATCCCCAACTCTCCCACCAGCCCAGCTGGAGGACATGGGGGACTCCCTGGAAGGAGAAGAGAGCCCAGAGGATGCCTGGGGAGGGTTCATGAGATCAATCTCGTCTCCGGTGCTGTAATCCAGCTTTCTCAAGCAATGTTTTCACAGGTGTATGAGACACCTCTGAGAGCAGCATAGACAACATCTTCATCGACGGACATGTTATTCTTACAGCAAGATGCAGGAAATGGAGCCCCTGGGGTAAGGGTAGTCTTTTTTCCTTTATTTAGACAGCTTTTAACACAGCTAAGGAAAGAGAAATGCAGCCTCTGGGACCGCATTAGCCCTGCCCTATGGTTTCTGCAGTTTTTAGAAGTCTAGATTTGAGCTGCAAGATGAAATATTTAAGATGTGTCAGCCCTAGGTGCCTGCAGATGGCACTTTAAGAGCTTCTGGGTGACACCATCCACTGCCTGGGGACAGCCAGCTTGCAGGGCTGCCTTTTGGTACTAGAAATACAAAGTTTGATGTCTCATTCCCCCATGCCCACAATCAGGCTGGGGATGCAATGGCCTGGGAGCAGGAGCAGAGCTGGTACCCAAACTGAGCTGGGGCCAGGATGGAGATGGCCATGTCCCCTTGTACCCCTCCATCTCCCCTCCAGCACTGCAAAGCTCTCATGGGAAGCTACTATGAATAATAGCATTTTGTTAATAATTTAGGATGACGTCTTCTCCACCGGCTGCACTCACCTGTGCTGGCGAGGAGGTCAGATCTGGGCTGTAGCCTGGCGAGGAGAGATAGAAGCTGCTGCAGCTTAGCGGTCGCCTTGAGGCAGGTGCTAAGGAAGAGGAGGAGGAGGAAGGATGCTCGTCTGCTGAGTCACCCTGGAGTTCCGGGGAAAAGCTGAGCACAGGGTCAGCCTGCAGCCTCTGGGGGTAAGAGAAGGGCTTTGGAGACCCAGCTTTGGGCTCCAGCACCCCTTTCCTTGTCCTCCCAGTGTGCCCCGTATAATCCCACCTCTCCATCCCAGGGAGACCCCTCTGCATCCCAGCTCCACCCTCTAATACTTGGGCTCAGGACCTCACCCTTCAAGGGCAGAACTTTTGCAAGAGATAAATACATTTTAAAAAAAGCCCTAAACCAGCCATAACCACCCCAACAACATTTATTTTTAAATTTAGAGACCACCCCCCAAACCCCCTATCTCTAGGGATTGCTCCTACCACAGCCCCAACTGCCTCGGGGGGGGGGGGGGCAGGGGGAAGAAAAAAAGCCACCTCTCTTCACTTCAAAAATTTCCTTATTAATAAGTTTTTAGCAGCCTAGCCATCCCTCCACCCTTTATAGGGAGCACCTGCCCAGCTCCCAGCTGCCTCTGATGGGGACAGGCTGCTCCCAGCCCTTAAAAGAGTGGGGCAGAGTGATGATGGGGAGTTTTACTGCTCCTGGGGTCTCTGCTAGAGGGGCTGTCCTGTACTAGCTGGGAAGGTGAGGGGGATTTGGGTGGGTTGAGCAGCTGAGGTGGAGGCTTTGGTGCTGCTGTAAGTGCTGTGGGTGAGGTCTGGGGCAAGCTGTAGGTCTTGTGCTTAGTGGGTAATGGTTAATGTTGTGTTGGACTATGTTAGGGTGGGCAAAATGAGGTGAATACCCCATAAAGGATCTTTTCCTAAAGCTCTAAGCATGACTTGACTGCGGGACCCTCTTTACTGGCTTTGCTTGGGTGGTTTCTGTCTCACCAAGACCCTGCCTGCATCTTGAGCTTGTCCTGGAAAAAGAGGGTCCATAACTTTGGTAGCAGGCAGGGGATGGCACTAGGCTTCTACCTAGCAATGCTGGGAATGAGGGAGGGGAAACTGAGGCAAGGCTGTGCTGTTTACCAAAGACACCCCTGAAAGCCCTAGAGACCCCTCCCTTTTTGCTTTTACTCTAGCTGGTGCCTATGTGGGGCCATCTAGCTACTGTAGGGCCAAATCCTGCCCTAAGCAGGCCACTCTGCTCTTGTTTTGCTAGAGCATAGGATCTCTGACCCCAAAATCTCAGCTCCCCTACCTTGGGGGAGTGGGCACGGCCCTCAGTGGGTAGCGAGTGGTAAGCAGACTCGGGTGTACGGGGTGAGCAGCTGGGGATGGGGATGTCCAGGGGTGGGGATGCTGGGGCTGTGCCTGCTGCTTGCTGGTCCTCCTCCTGGGTGCTGGGGGAGAGTGGTGGGGGTGAAACCAGCGTGGTGGGTGGCCGGTGCTCATGCAGGGATGCAGTGAAGGCCAGTCGACCACAGTGCATCGCTGGCTGCTCGCTGCCCACCCTCAGCAAAGCCATCACGGAGCTGTAGCGGTACCAGTCCTCATCCTTCCTGGCAGACAGCTTCATCCGGGGCTGGTTGGTGCGGGGGTAGATGGCGAAGAAGGCTTCGCCCACCTGCCTGCTCCTCCTCATCCTCTCTGCCCTCCTGGGGAAGTGCAGGGCCTCGATGTGGAGCCGCACATCGTGGTTGTTGTCGTTCTTGCAGAAACCTGCTGGGAGCGGTGGGGGGTGAAGTCTTGCTTGGGAGGGCTGGTGGTACCAGGAGCATCTCCTGGACTCATCCATCAGCAGCCCTGGTTAGCTCTGCTCTGCGAACTCTAGCAAACAGGTTATCCAGCCTGGATACAGCTAGATCTTGGGTGGGGGGGTGTTTGCATCGTTGGCAGTGTTGGTCCCACTCTCCAAGCTGGATCTGCTCCATCCACCCCACTAAGCTCAGGCAGCTTTGACTCCAGCTCAAAGTTTTGCTGCGGGGGTGAAGATGTGAGCATGGTGTAGGGGTTTGCAAGCCTGAGACGGGCTCTACTTGCTGTAGAGCCATGGTCCTGGGTCACCTCCCCTGTCAGCCCATCCCCATGGCTTCCAGCCTCTTACCTCTGGGCAGGATGAAGGTGAATTTCCTCCTCTGGAAGGAGTAGATCTGGTTGAGGTCGCTCTGCTCGATGGTGTCAGTGGTGCCGGTGCTGCTCTGGATGACCTCCCTGCTGTTGATGCAGAGCCGGACACCGGCACTGGAGCCCTGCAGCAGTGGGTTTTCCACAGTGAGCCGCAGGGCGTAGCGGCCCTGTTGGTTAAACTGGGCGCTGACCACCTCAAACTCAAAATCCAGGGTCTTCTCCTCAGCCTTCAGCCGGGAACGCTGCAGGGTCAGGGGAATGCGAAGCTCCCCTGCCTTGCCTGCCATGGGGACAGAGGTGGGATCTGGAGATGTGTCCTCCTTGATAGCAGGGACCTTGCAAGCTCTCTACCATGGAGCAAGCCCTTCTGGCAGCCTTTCTGAGCCAAGTTGCCTCTGCTGTCACTCTCTCCTTTCCCTCTCCAGTGGGGAAAGTGCCTGGGGGTGCCTCTGGGTACCTGTTGGCTTCACATCCCTGCAGGCCGCTTTCAAAGGCAGCAGCAAAAAAGGGAAAGAAATCCCTGTTCCTGAAAAAGCATCCTTTGGTGCTGCAGGGAGATGCTGAGAGCTTTCCTGCCCCTGTGCAATGGCAGGGACAGGGGCTTTGAACTCCAGTTTGTTTGCTGGGAAACCAGGTAACTAGATGCAAAGCAGTGGCTGCCTTCCAGCAAACAGCCCAGGATATCCAGGGTGATGCCAAGCGATGCAACACAGACGCGTGTGTGCTGGGGGATGTGTACATCCCTGCAACAGGGAGTTGATGGCTCCTTGAGCCCTTTTCCTTGGGTGATTCATCACAAAGGGGTTTGCTGGATGTTGCAGAGCTTCCAGGAGATGCTGGTGCTGAGTACGGTGTAAGCTGTGCTAGCTGCTCCCATGTGTTGCTGACCCCCGTGGGACAATTCTGCTCCTCCTGCACCCATGGGCTCTTTGCTGCATCCCCTGCTGATGGGACTGGGCAGCTGAGCCGGCAGCTGTGTTTTGGTTTGTCTCTAAGGCAAGTTTTTAGCTGGGTTTGCTTGTGGCATGAGGTCGGGCAAGCCAAGGGAGAGGAATAGGATGAGCCTGGGGAGCAGTGCTTGGCAGTTAGATCAGCTCCCAAAAGGGATGGGGGCATTCACCCACTTAATCCTAATGCCTCGTAATTTTGCAGACAAGACCAAGGCAGAAACTGCCCCATGACTTGAAGTGTCTCTACAAAGCAAGCAGTTGAAATGTTTTTTTGGTTTTTTTTGTTTTTACATGCATGGCTTGGACATGTGCGTTCGCAGTCTGCCTGCAAGCTTGCTGGGCTTTGGGCACTGAGAGATGGACGCAGAGCTGGGATCTCACTGCTGCAGTGAGGGCTGTGGATGTCCTGAGTGTCACGGTTGGGCTGCAGAAGGGAAATTGGGGCTGGTGCATGCAGGTCGGGGTGATGCCCTGAGTCAAAGCTGGCTGCAAAGGGGTTTTGCTCCAGGTCTTTCTTCCAGCTCAGCGTTACATGGACTGCTTTTTCCCCATGCAGGAGTGCGTGTTTCTCGCTGGTGCAACTGGAACTGATCTCCCTGCCCGCTAAACCTGCTGCTAAGCCAGCTGTGCATCTGGAGGTTAGTCCCACCACGGATATTCTGGGACTGACATAAAGGGGGTTGATGGTCTGGGGTAGGCAGGAGCTGGAATGGCACAGTCTGATTCTTGCTGGGAGCCCCCTGCCCTGTCACATCTCATTCCTCCATCGCTGCTGAGAATAGCACGTTCCCACAGCTTTCGGGATGTTTCCAGTGAAACGTGAGCTGGAGCTGGGCTAGCAGATGGCCCTTTTCTAAGACAGATCCGCACTCCATCTAAAAAGCCACATTCCAGTCTCTTCATGCTGGTGCAAGTTTGAAACAACAAGATTATCCTTGGGGGGAGTGGGTTGGCAGATAAAACAGTATCTGAGACCCTGGGGCATAAGACTTTTTCCTTTTTTTTTTTTTCTCTCTAGTATGGGAGCAGCCCAGGGACCTGCGAAGCATCTAGCCAAGACCTGTGCCAAAATCACTTCCTCCAAGAATCCCTTTGGCAGGGTGCATGGGGATGTGGATGGACTCACTAAAAATAAATCCCAGTGTCCCATACCTTCCTGATGCTTCCAGGGAGGCCAGTTGTACCACTTGGTCCTTCCTCAGTTTCTATTTTGGAAAAAATACGGAGTGAACTCTTACCATGAGGTACTTGCTGATCCTGAACACAACCTTGGCTGATGCATTTAACCTCCTGCCATGGTGAGGATGCTGTGGAGGTCAGGATGAGGATGGGAGGGAAATGGGTCATAATTTGAGGGTACTGGGTTGGGTTTAAAGCTGAAGAAAAAGGTGTTCTGTGTGGTTCCAAGCTTGAGCTGGTGAAATGGGGGGGTGGGGTGTCATTCCTCTGCCAGTCAAGCCTGCCTGGAAGAGTGCTAATGTCTCCAGTGTGCTTGGAAATGCTGATGGCTGGATTGCTTCCTTGAGAGGGCTGAGAGCATAAATGCTTTTAATGCTGTTGGAAGAATTGCTGGTTCTTTCTCCTGATGGCTGAAGACTGCTCAGTGCTCCCAAAGCAGAGCTGCGTTGGAGCAAGGTGGTTTTTCTCAGCTGAGAGCCCAGAGATGGCTTGAATTGAGTGTGTGATGCTCTTCTGACCTGTTTCACCTCCAAAACTCTGGCAGTCTGGGTTGCTAGTTTCATCTGGAGATGTTACCTTTGTGCTTATGTGCAGCTGGGACTTGCTCTGGCCCCCCTTGCACCCCCATGCCATGGTGGGGACCCTGTGCCACTGAGCTGGGCTCTGCTTCCCTGGGGCACAGCAGCAGCTGGAGCAATCATGGTGATCAAATTGGTGTCTGTGTGAAGGATCACACCCTGGTCTTCAGCTCCCGAATGCTTCTGAAAGTTTCCTCTGCCTCAATTAAAACCCTGCCAGGCTCTAATGTGGGGAAATGGGAGCTGTTTCATCCTTAACTAGCCTGTTTAATTTCCTTCCCACCCTTGTGCAAACACATTATGGAGCCACTGCTAATGACAACATCATCAAAGACTAATTTTCCTGTAATCTGAGGCACAGTTCATTCATGCAGCATTTTCCCAGCTGTACCAGAGGTACATGTGCAGCAGGTCTGGAGGTGCCACCTCCATCGTGTTAATGTGGCACAGACACCCCCCCCCCCCCCCCCAACTAAATATCAATTTGCATGGCTCTATTGGGAATGAGGTTGATTCATAGGACAGTGTGAGGTCTGTCTATTTTGGCAGCCTGTGGATTTTTGTTCTGTAAAATGAAAGGTGGCCTTTGGTTAGAGCTCCGCCTGTGTGATGAGCTCAAGGTTTTGGGTCTGGAAAGCTGTGTAACAGTGATGAGAGCAGGGTGTTTTGGCCAGAGGTGGGTTCCTGCTGTCCTTGGCTCTGTCCCTTCATGTAAAAGCCCTTTCCCTTAGGGAAGGGTCCCCATGGGCACAGTGAGAGGCAGTGATTTGCTACTGGCTGCTGGGTTGTACCTGAATCTCAGTGCTCCAGCTCCTTATCCAGTGTCACAAGATCAAACAGGCTCAGGACATCAATGCATACAAGGAGAGGACACTTCTCCAGAAGCAGAAAAGGGATTTGGGAGAGACCTTATGTAGGGCAGAGGCCAAGGATGCATGTAGTGAGGGGCTTGTGGTGTCAGAGGGTCTCTGCACCCTGCAGCTGCTGCTCAGGACTGGGAGAGGTGTAAGGAGAAGGAAAACCATCCCATCTCCATGCTTATCCAGCACAAGCAGCAGCATCTGGGGATGCCATCGAGCTCCTGGTTCGCCTGCACCTTGCAGGGTTCTTCTCAGCCTGGTCCCTGCTGTCTGCACTGCTGCTGCCTGAAAAGAGGGCAGCAAATCTTGGCAAGGTATACTATCAGAGCCTAGGTGGGAACCACATATCCAAGGCTCGTGGCTGGTTTCCCAACAGGCATTTTTGAGTAAAAAATGCCAAAGTGCTGGAATACCAACTTTCTGTAGGGCATTAGGGTGCCTTGAGATGTTTTGGTAGTAACAAAGCCCTTCCAGGGCTGGTGTGCATCTATATAATGATCACTTTGCTAAGATCAGGATGGACATCGCTGGAATATTTTGTTTGGGTGGGGATGGGGACCCTGTGACTCTGAATTTCAGCCCCTTCTATCTCTACTTAGCCCTTTCCCCAGTCCCTCGGCTTTCCCAGGAAACACTCTTGGGATCCAACAGCAGCATTTCTCATTTAAAAACAACCCCAAGGAAGGGGCAAAAAACCTCAACCCTCCCTGTCATTTTGTTTGGCATTGCCACAAGGTTTTGGCTAAAAATTAAGCTAAATCTTCAACCTTGATTAATTTTCCTTTGCTCCACTTGCTGTCACATGTGGACTGTGTGTATATTTGTCCAGATTATTTTTTTTTTTTTGTAAACTGCTGTCTCCTGGACTATGCATCCCCCAGTTCACACCCCAAGATGTTTTGCATCCCTTTCCCACCTCCTCCAGACTGTTTCTTACTGCTGTGGGACTGTCACTCTGCACCCATAGCGCTTGCTGTGTGAGCCCTGGGCAGGATCTGGCCACCTCCAAGGGACCGCGGGGCAGATGCTCTGGTGGTGTCCCCAAACCAGGGACGCTTGTGCCCAAGCTTGCACCAAACCAAAACTTTCCTTCCCTGTTCCCACCCCTCCCAAGTTGCACCGGGCAGGGGCAAAACCAAATAAATCTGCGAGATTTGGGCAAAGGATTGGGTTCAACTGATTTACACCAGTAAGGAGCTGGCCCTTTGATTTACCCCAGGAGGAAGCAGAGATGTTTGCATCCCATGGAGGGGCGGGGGGGATACAACACACACACACCAGCATTTCAGTCCCTGGGCTTCGAACCCCTAAATCTTGGCATGGGAGGGGGGGTGGAGGGAGCAGCCAAAACCCGGTGGAGAGTTGGGAAGAAGGGGGCTGGGTCAAGCTGCCTCCTCTCCCGAAAAGCTCTGCCTAATCAAAGGGAGAGCAGAGCACGGGGTTGGTTGTTTTTAATTTTCTAAACCCCAGGGTGGCCCCCAGCCAAGGCCTCCTGGCGATGGAGGGGATAAAGTTCCCTGAGCCACCGCAAGCCTCCGCTCGCTTGCCGGTGTTCTGAACTTTGCCTTTAAGTTTGCATGGCTGCATCCGCGCCAGGCTCCGGCGAGCGGATGCTTTAGACCCCGCTTAGCAAGGCCGTGCTTCTCCCGAGACCCCCACCAAGCCGAGCTTCTAGGTGCCTTGCAAGGAGGTCGCTGGTTGGAAGAAGGTAACTTTCTTTTGTCTTCTTTCCTCTTTTTTCTTCAACCCCCTCCTTTCTGTCGTCACTTCTCGCACGCTCGGCGTCGCGGGGAGAAGCTGGGCTTAATGAACCGATGGAGTTGATCATGCCAGGTTGTAAATGTGAGCTGCCATCTGCAGCCTGTTTGCTTATGGTGGGGCAAATCCTGCTCTGGGGGTGCAGGAACCCCCCCAGAATCCCAGCTCTGCCCTTAAGCAGGGATTTTGCCTTCCTCTTGGGGCGGGGGGGCTTTTTCTGGGAGATGCTCGCTTCCCATCAGCATCGCAGGGGCAGAGGTTATGGGGTGCTCTGCCCTGAACCCCCCCACACACTGCTTTCCATGCTGGCGGGTGACTTTGTCAGCAGGTTTCGGTGTGATCCTGCAAACTCCTGACTTTTCCCCTTCCCCTGGCTTGCAGGGGGGGCTTTGTGTGCAGCAGGTGCTGCTGCCTTTCCTTTGAAACGAGGGGGGGGGGTGTCAGGAGCCTAAAAATAACCTTAAGCAGCCTCCTTGGCTTAAATGTTTAAGCTGCCTTTGCTTTTAAAATGCAAAAGGGGCTTCTTCAGCTTTCTGGTGTGTGTGTTTATGATCTCCGTGGTGGATTTATTATCTGCAGGCTCCAGTTCTGCAGAGGAAAGGCTTTGTGAAGAGCTGGAGAGGCTCCACGGGTCTCCCTGGGGTGGTGGAGGTCGGGTGCGGGAGGGATTTGGGGGAGAGGGGGGGTTGGATTGGATGAGAACCGGCCTCGCCATGTCTTAGCTGGGAGGAAAATGCTATCAATCAGAGCTGGATGGCTGGGTGGGATGAAAAACTTCCTCCGGAGCTTTCCCTGACCGGGGCAGGGGCTTTCCCAAGGTGATGGGGAGAGCCGTGGGCTGGGGCGCAGCGAGTTCACCAGCCACTGGGCTTCCTGCATCAGCTCACTAGTGCAATGAGTTTGCTGTTCTCAATCCCCTGGGGCTGAGCCTGTCCTGGGGAAAGGGTGGGCAGCGAATTCCCGGAGGTGCCAGCCTCCGGCTGGATGGTCCAGGGTGCGCGTGGGCTCCTTGGCACTTGTGTTTGGGGAACTTGGGGACAGCGTGGGATCTTCACACTGGAAAAAGCTCTGATTTTCCAGAAGGATGATCAAAGTCTTCAAAAAGCTCTGGGCAAGGGCTGGCTGAGGTATCTTTGGTGCTTGGAGGGCTCCAAAGTCATCAGTGGAGGGAAGGGATGGGACCGACTGTCCTCTTGCCTTTCCTAGCTGAGCACAAGTGGCTACAAACCAACCTTTCTGATCTCATTTTGGGGCTGGGACACCAAGTTTGGTGGACTTTGGGGCTGAAGTTGGCTGGTTTGGCTTGTGCTGACATGAGACCAGGATATGCCCCTCTGAACATCAGCTGAAGCTGCTAAATCCACCTTTGGGAAGGCCATCCTCTTTGATGTCTTCCAAAGCTCTTCCTGTGCCACCTGGCTTTGCAGGGACCAACCCAGCAGCCACCAGTGCGGCTCCTGAATGGCAATTGAATTAGAGGAGATCTCACTTAAACAACTCTTTCCCCCCCTCCGCCTCCCTGGCCCAAGGGCTCCCTGAACAATTGTGAAATGAGATCTTTATCATTTTTATTAAAAGCTGTACACAAGGCATCACCATTAGGCTGGATGGGAGGGGGGGGGGGAATTCCCTTATGGCTCCCCTCTTCTTCCCTCCACTCCCCTCCCCAGTTTAATTCATAGCGGTGGGATGCAAAAGCTCCCCAGAGAGTGATGGATAGTGGGAAATGAAGAATACGAAGGAGCTTTATTGAACCCATCAATCTCGGGCAAGGCTGCTGCGATCAAAGGCCCAGCCTGTTTCGGCAGAGGTTACGTGGAGGAGCAAAGAGATCAAGTTTCGGGGAAACCCAGGGCACAGAGGGGCTGCAAAACCAGTGAGCTCCTGGCTCAGCCCTGGACCAGAGGAGCCAGCGCCTGCAGAGCAGGGTGGAGAGCATGGCCTTGCCCTGGCTGGGGATGCTGATCCTGCTGGGATTTTGGCACACCTGCATCTCCTCCTCTTCTGGGACACCAGCATTTGCAGCCTGTGCAGGAATAAGGGGGTTAACTCTTCCCTGTGCTGTGGTGAGGCTGAAGACCTTAGTCGCGTGCTTCTCCCCAGCTGAAACGCTCATCCCCAGCGAGGTATCTCCTCCAGCACAGCACCAGCCCCGTTGGCCAGGGCTGTAAGAGACTCGTTGCAGTCCAGGCTTGGATGTCCCCGTGTCACATCATCACTCGTTCAGCCTTGCTCTGCCCCGGCTTGCCTGATGGCGTCCAGCAGATGGGTCAGAGGCTCTGAAGCACCTCCTGATTTTTCCAGACCGTTCATGACTTGTGACCAAAGCGTTGCCACCCTGCCTGGTGGACTGCAAAAGGAGACCTTCCGCTGGAGCGGGACAGCATCCGTCTCCTGAGGGTGAGTGGGCTGGTCTGGAAGACTTGAAGATCACCTGGTGCTGGCACAGTGTTGACCCACCTTGGTCCCATACCCAGCCAGAGACGGCGTCTGGGTGCGCATGATACTCCGAGCAAGGATGGGTTGGAAGGGGAGCTGACACACCGCCCAGGGAGCTTGTCAGATTGGTCTTGTGCTCTTGCTGCCCAGCACAGATTCAGGCTGCGACTTGCCTGGCAGGGGTCCCTGACGGCTCTGTGCACCGTGCCTCTTGCTGAGCCTTTCTCTCCTTTCCTTTCTGCTTTTCTGTGGCCTCTGTGTCCCCAGGTGGCTGCAAATCAGGGCATTAGTAAGGTGGCATCTGCTCACTCATTCAGAGGTGGATCATATGGAGTAATGCTACCTGGCTGGGCTGGTGGGTAGGTAGATCTTGCTTTCCACTGGTTGCCTTTCTTTGGGTCATCCTGCAGGGAGGTGAGAGGGGCATGGACAATCCCACGGTGGCTTTTGGGGCCGGTCCTTCATCTGAGTGTTGCCTGGGGGGAGAAAAAGCATCCCCAGAAGGATGCTGCCCCATGCCAGGGTTGGCAGGGTTTGCCTCATCTGCCTAAACCCCAGCCTCAACTTCCAAGCCCTGCCAAGCCTTTGGTGACCCCACAGGAGGGGAAAAAAGGTTCTTGTGGATGTGTGTGTGCGCTGCCATGAACTTTAAAGGCTCTTCCTACCTTTTTACGGAGCGCTACATTCCTCGGAGGTGAGGTCAGAGCTGCTTCCCGGTGCAGGTGAAACCAAGAGATGGCTGGAGAGTCGATGCCTTGAAGCTGGGACGTGCGCTGGGTGGGTCGAGGATGGGGTCTGGGGGCCGTCCAAGTTGGATGCTCGCCTGGGGCTGGTGGGGTCCATCCTTCCTCTACTGGAGCCTGCGCTGGTGGGGAGAGGGGTGGTGGTGGCACCCTGATGTGGGCCAAATGCTGGGGTGGGGTCACCTGCTTTCTAGCTGAGTTTTGGTTCTCTGGGAAGGGAGGTGAAGGTCCCAGGTCTCATGTCCAGACTTACAGGGAGCTCCCAGTGGAGACCCAAAATCTGGCTGGGGACGTGATATCCAGTGGAGCATCAGGGCATGGGGCAGCGTGACCATGGTGGCGAGTCTTGTCAAGTCTGGACTTGTCTGTTCAGAGATGCGGCTGCCTGCAGGGCCGCAGCCCAGATTTGGGGAATCTCTTTGAAGGTGGCGTGCTATATCCGACATGGTCCCTGGTGAACGCCAGCTGTACAAACAGCAGCCTGGAGCAAAGCTGCTGGTTCAGTCATCCATCTCCTACTCATCCCCTCAGAGCCACCGAGCAGCCTGGGGGGGTTTGGTGACATCCCCAGGCTGTGGGATGAGGTGTCCCCAGGTCCTGGGCTCGTTTCTGGGGCTTGGAGGCTGCACTGAGTGTCACTGCCTGGCACGTGGGGATGTCTTTGGGCGCTGCCTTTCTGATGGCAATGGTAGAGGAGGCACGTCGCAGCTTGTGCAATGTAGCTCTGGAACAGCAGCAGAGGGTGTGGGGCTTCCTGGGCCAAAGTCATCAAAAAATAATGGGGAGAAGGAGAAATGAGAGCTTGTTGGGTCTGGCACGGTGACAAAACTTTCTTCCTTTTCATTGCTACAAAGGGAGAGGGGCTGCAGTTTCTTCCCAGAGCTGGGGGAGGCTGGATGCTGTGTGGGGAATCTGGTGGCAAAGAGGGACGTTGGGGACACGGGTCACAGGCTCCCCAGCCACGGTGAGATCTCGTCCTCTCTTTGCCAGCCAGCCTGTGCCGCTGAGCCCAAAACTTGACCCTTGCACTGGTTTTCGAGTCGGCATAAAAACTGTTAAACAACCCAAACAAAGGCTCCGAGTCTATCAGCATCCCGCGGCGAGCAGGGAGCGGCTGAGGGATGATTAGGTGTGCCCCGAGCACTCGGGTTGTGCAGCCGGGGTGGGGGTGGTGGTTCGTCCCTTCTTCCTCCCTCCAAATCCAGATAAAAGCTGGATCCTTGGAGGTACAGCTGGATTTTGAAAGCTCCTGGTCACCCCCTGGCTGTGGGAGTGACCTGAGAAGATAAAAACCTCTTGGATCAGTGCCTCCATCCCAGTATTTCCAAGAGCCCAGGAGGACCCACCTTGGGAAAGCCTGGTTGCTTTCTGCCTCTGGCTACCTCTCACCATCTTTCTCCAGCCCACAGAGGGAGGAAGGAGCCAGTCATGGCAGCCAATGGCTCCGGCGGGATGCATGATGCTTTGTTGGACAACAGCTTTGCCGGTACCGACGAACTCGTTTCTGACTGGTACATCTACGAAACCATGGAGCCGGCCGTGCCACAGGATGAGTAAGTGTCCAGCCCCACCGGTGGGTGCCACATGTCCCCCGTCTCTGCTGGGGTCACCTTGGGCAACTGCTTGCCTCCTGCCTGGCTGCTCTATCCACTTTCTGTAGAGCAGTGTTCCCTGAGCAGCACAGCCAGGATTTATTCCTGGCTGAGCGGGAGGTGATTAAAAAGGCTTATTTTGCCCCCCTAAAAATGCTTTATTTCTTTAGGATGCTTCTGACAAGAGCTAGCAGTAACCCTGCAGCAGGCATGTCTGCTAGTTACACTCCATTTTACTTAACCTTCCCCAAAATACAAAGTCAAGTGCATGGTGTTAACCTGCTGCCCTGACCCCTCTGAAGCCCCCAGAGCCTTTGCCAGCCTAGAGAGGGCTGCTCTGCCTCCATACTTCTGGGTTTGAAGATGTCCCCATGCCACAGCCTTGCAACTCAGTCCCCTACCTTAATCCCCCCTCCCCAGCTCCCCGCAAGCAGCTGTGCAGATTTTGGCTGGGGGTGAAGAGAGTTGGCAGCACACCCCGATCTACTGGCAGGGATGGTCAGCCGGGTCCCTGCACAGCACGGTGACCCTGAACAGGTCTCTTACTTGCAAAATAGGGCTGAGCATCCCTGGGCTTGCATGGATGTCTTCCCCCCCCGCCCCCAAACTGGTGTATCAGTGGGTCTTGTAAAGCCTATTCCCTCTCCATCTGTGATGATCCGCTCTTTAACTAAGCATGCTCCCAAGAGCAGTGCTGTGTTTGCCCCGGGGATGGGACCCCAGGGCCCAACCTCACAGCAAGGACCCAATGCTTCGTGCCCTCCTAGCCGAGTGCCCTTCCCAAGGACAAGAGAAGTGCTGTTGGGAGGGGAAACTGAGGCGTGGAGCAGCAGCGCAATTTTTCCAAGATGTCCCACAAGGCTCGAAGCTGGGCATTCCAAGGCCCATCTATCAGCATCGATTGTCCCTTTGTTGACTTAGTCCTCTGCAGGTGGGTTTTATGCTGCTCAGTTGACTGATACCTAATCCTGAGGGCAAGCAGGAAGAGATCCCAGCAGCGATCAGCCCAAAGGGTTCCTCCTTGTCCTTAATCTTCTGCATTACGAAACAGCCTTTGAAATCTCCTTGCCCGGCCCCTTTTTTGCCAGATGAAGCCCCCTGCATGACCCACATCTCTGCTAGAAACCTTTGGGGTATTTTCTGGGTGCTTTCCTTTGCAGTAAAGCCATGGTCAGTAAAGGGATGGAGGCAGCGCTGGGGGGTTTGCCCATCTGATGGCTCCTGGATGCTCTAGATAGAGATGCTGAAGCCCTGGTGATACCAAAAAGGGCTTTGGTATCCCTGTGCTCTCAATCTTGTGGATGGGTGCCCTGGATTTCTGGAGCCTGGATATTTTTGGACAGCAGGAATTTTCTGGTCTAGCCAAGCCCAGCCATTGGCAGAGAAAAAAAAGGCAGAAATCAGAGCTTTGGTAATGGCAGCTAGTCCTATAAAGCCTTTTCTGGCAGCTCGGTGACAGCCTCAGACATATGATGCCTGAGAAATCCTAATTTCACTATCAGACTGTTTCCTGCAGCCTTGCTTAGGGGATCTCTGCAGCTGGTCTCCCATCTCTGCCCACCCTACCGGCGTTGCAGTGGTTTGGGAGGGCACGAGGGCTTGCGTGGGTTCCTCCCCACTGTGAGTTACGGGGCTCAGGGGGTTCAGCTCCCTGGCACAGCGATTTGCTGCCCAGCGTTGCATGAAGGTGGCTGGGCAAGATCACGCCTGGCCTTGGGGAGAGGAGGAGGGCTGCGGCAAAGCAGAGATTAAGGGATGTAACGGAGGCCAGAGAGCGAATAAATAAAGCAAAGCTCAGCACACCTGCTCGGCTGGCCTTGGCGAGCTGGGGGATGCGGCTCTGGGACCCTGTCCCACCTGCACCAGCCCCAGGCAGCCATCACCTCCACCATCCCCTTAGCTCTGGGGCTGGTCCCTCTCCCATGGGAAAGGCATCGAAACACCCTACGAGGGGTCTTCAGCCTCCCAGCTGGCATTTAATAAGCGCAGTGCCTTAAGCAGCAAGGAGAACTGCTGCTTTGTAGGCTGTATCCCTTGAAAAGACACAGAAGAACAGATATGGGTGTAAAAGAGGTAAAGGGGGGCTTCATCCTTCCTTGCTGTCCTCCTATTAAGCCTTGGCATCCCTGTACGTGCAGGGAGGTTGCCCGGTCCCTGTGGGGATCAGCTCAGGGCCACTTCCCTGTGTTATCTCTCTCACTTGCTCATAAAGTCATCTCGTGAGGGTGACTTCACCCCTGGTTGTTGATGGTTGTGCAACCCAGCTCTTCAGAGGTTCGCCTCTTCTCAGCATTGGACCGAAATCTCTGCTGCCCCCTTGTACGTCGGCATTACCCCAGCATCTTTGCTTTGCCCTTTTGGGACTAAATACATGCATGATATTTCCCCCCCCACCTTCTTTCTAGCATGTTTTCCAGTGAAATCCCAGACTGCAACCCCACCGTTTCTCCCAGACTGTATCACATCTGCATGGCACCGGTCTCCGTAAGTACCTGCCAAGTCCTGCATGGTGAGTTATCTGCCCCGACGTCGTATTTGCTGTCCCCAGCTCGGGTCATGCCCGTCTACTCCCAAATAGCAGGCCTGAGCTCTTCAGCTTGAGCTGGAGTGAGATTAGAGCTGGGATGCTCTAACAAGGGACTCACACATCTCCAGACTTTGTTTCATGTCTTTAGTCAATGGAAGGCCTTGATTGATTTTTATTTTTCCCATCATGGTCCCTCTGAGGCACTCAGAGCCTGTAACTTGTCAGAGCAGGTTGAAGTGCCTGTCCCTGCTTCAACCATGGCTGGATTTAGGGTGTTGGGTGGAGATGGTGTCTCTGTGGAGGCTCCCATCACGTTGCAGCGTGTCTGAGCCTCCCATCCAGACCCACCTCCCCATGTATTTATTGCTCCCTCGATTGGGTTTCTGGCAGCTGGCTGTGCTCGTGGGCTTGTCCTTGCTGGTGAAACGCAGGCGTCTCCACTGGAGCTGCTGGAACGGCGTCCCGGGACTGCTCAGGTACCCTGGCACTGCACCCCGGTCCCCAGGGTCCCTGTCACCCCGCAGCCAAGCGGGAGGAGGGAAGCTGAGGTGCAGCATGGGATAAACCAGCTCTGGGGCAGAGGATGGTGGGGACAGGGTGCCCCTGATCTCGTGTCAGGCTCATTCATTCCTTGGCTCGCAGCCCAGCCAACTTTCTGGAGGAGGAAGGCAACCGAGGGCTGGTGGCTGCGGTGTTCGGCATCCTGTTCTCCTCCCTGTGCATGTTGGTCTTGGACAGGGACCCTCTGCCACTCATCGCTCATTCCTCCCAGAGCAGCCGAGGTAAGGCGAGCACCCTGCTGGTCCGCGGGCACCACGCTCCTCCGGCCTGTTCACCCTGGTCCATACTGAGAACGCTGCCTTCTCTTGCCTGTTTTGCCCTCCCTCCTCTCTACCCATCATCCCAACTAGAGTACTGGAAGATCCTGGCTTTGCTGTACTACCCTGCCTTCTACTACCCCCTGATCGCCTGTGCCACGGTCCGGCACAGGGTCAGCTACCTTGTGGGCTGCCTGCTCTCCTGGTGCCATTGTGTGGTCCACATCTGGCAGAAGGTGGATTGTCCCCAGTCACCGAAGGTACGTGTCCCACCTCCTGGGGAAGGAGCAGGGAGGCTGGTGTGGCCCAGGGTTGGAGGTGGTTTTCTCATCACCTCCCTGAAGTGACATTAAGGTGTCACCTGCCTGGGCCAGGGTGGTGTGGCCTGTGACATCTCTGCTTCTCCCCAGATATACAGGTACTACTCCACGCTCTCTTACATCCCCATCATCCTCTGCCTTGTGCTCTTAAGCCTTTGGTATCCAGCCCTGCTCATCAGGAGCTTCACCGGGCAGGAGGAGACCTTGGATAAGGAGGTAATGAAGATCCACGGGGTGACTCAGGGGATGGTAGCATGGGAGAACCCCTCGATGGACCTGCAATGCTTTCAGGAGCTCTCCTGCCCTGCAGCTCATCTTTCTGCCTTGGGGACTGGGAGAACTGGGGTTCTCCCAGAGCACGTGTTCCTCACTTTGTTCCAGCACCGGGACCTGCCTCCCCTCCATCCCTCTGACGGCCTGGGTTGTGGCTCTGTTTGCCTTGCTGGATTTGAAGAGGGAGCGAAAAATCCATCTTTGGAGTAAACTCCTTAGCACAAGAGGCTTAAAGCATCAATGCATCCCGTTCAGGCTGGGACTGGAGTTGCCTTGTTTTCCCGGCAGGCTGGATAATCCCCAGCCCTTTGGGAAATGCCAGGGCTTTGTTGGGAAGACAGGAGGAAAAACCTACTTCAAAAAAAAAAAAAAAAAAAGCAGTCAGCCCCAGCATGGACTGAAGTGACCCCCAGGTGCTTGCTGGGAGCTGGCTGATGGGAATGAGGGGTTTCAGCTGTCCTACCGGTGTGCCTGGTTTTGGGCTGCTTTGTCGATGGGAATGAGGCAGATTTATTTCCACCTTGGCAGTGCCAGCAGATTTGCTGCCAGCATCGCTCCAACATGTTTGTTATCCAAACGAGGGCTGGGAGCCCAACACCCGCATCCCCTATGGAGGGTGCCGCGGGGCATCGTGCTAGTGATGGGTGGGTGACTAGGGGTAGCAGAGCAAGGAGATGGCTGCTGGGTGGGATGCAGATGCTCTGTTGAGAGCCCCCCCAAGAGGCAGAGTCACCTCTCCCTGCCCCGTGTGCCTGAGCGTATCCCTTTGCTCAAATCAGGCAACTTACTGCTGCTTTCCTTAAGGTTACTGGGCAAGGTTATTACAAGAAGTACCTAAAGGCTGTCCTGTCCAAAAACCCTCGGAAGGGGAGGTAAGGACAACACCTTTTCCATAGCTCTGCCTGATCAGTGAGCGTCCGTGCCAGCCCTGCCTGCCTCCCTGCTGCCTGCAATGGGAGCAGAGAGGCTCCCCGCTCCCGAGGGACCTGCTTTTCACCCTCTCCTCCTTCCTCCAGCTCCACGAAGATAGAAGAGAACCTCCTGTCAAGGGTCCAGACGTATTTACGCTCCTACATCTACGTTCCCGAGGAAGGTAAGCTGCGGGCAGGCGCGGGCTGTGCTCTTGGGCGCAGCAGCGGCTCGGCAAACAGGCTGTCTTCCCCCTCCCCAGGGAGAGCAAATGCCTTTCTTGGCTCTTTCCCCAAAGCATCTGCGTCGTGGCAGCTGCTGCCCGCCGCACGTGCGACGCCTCGGCTTTGCACAAACTGTTGCGGTTTGGGGTGGGGAGCTGGACTTCCACCCGTGGGGGGTATGGGTGGGCTGAGGCAGCGAGGTTGAGCTGATATTGCAGCCTGATGCTTGATAAGGCTATGATAAGGGAATAAAAGCTACAGCAAGGGGACAAAATCCCTAATGACCCAGGAATGGGGAACTACACCTTGCCCCCTCTGCCCATGGCTGTCGCGGGTGGTGGCACACCAAGGGACACGGCTCTGCACGCAGCAGGCACCCAGCTGCTGGGACTCGGTGCTGCGGGTGCGCGAGGTTTCACGGGCTTGCGGGAAAGGGAGGATCAACAGGGAAGAAATTCATCCAGCCGAAGTACAGAGAAACCGCTCCCAGCTATACATCCTTGCAGGATTTCCCTGGGGACATCCCAATTAATGTTTGACCCCCCCCCTCCCTGTTCCAGTGCTCTCCCTCGGGCGTTTGCTTTGGCTGCTGGGTTGGGTGGACCTACAGCCTGCTCCAGCCTTCCCCTGTGATCCCGTGTCCCAGCTCCTCTCTGATACACCTCTCTGATTCTGCCTTACAGGTTTCCGGATCCCGCTGAAGCTTGTCCTGTCCATAACCACGGCCGTGCTTGCTGTCTACCAGGTGATGTTCGTGGTTAAATGCCAAGCAGACCCCCCCTCCCCGCCTTCTTGGCTGTATCCTCTGGAGACAGAGGAGTCCAGAGGTCATTGCCGCACCACAATTTTGGCTACGGGGCTGGTATTAGCGTGCCTCAAGGTATTACCATCCCTTGGCTGACCTGCAGCAACCAGCCATGTGCTTCCAGGGCTCAGCCATCCTTAAGTCTTTAAGCTAAGGTGACGGCTCAGCAGTGGGATGCCGTGACCCAGGGCTCACGTGGCACCACTCCCTCACAGGTCGCTCTGCTGCTTCTGGTAGCCGTCATCCCCACCATCCAGATTGTGCGGGCAGGAATGACAAAGGACATCGTGATATTGTTGGTCCAGTTTGGCTTGGTGCCCTCGGAGAGCCCGGCTGTCCCGGGTGACATGGAGAAGGAGCTCAACACCGTCAAGTACTACCTGTGGTCACTGGAAGGTGGGTTCCTAGCCAGGTCCTGTACCTGTAGGTGACTTTTGAGGATTTTTGGAACTTAGCAGAGAGATTTCTAACCCAGAGGATGGCCCAGGAAACTGGTTGGTGATGAGGCACCTTCCAGGGGGGTTTAAAAACCAGCTGCTGAAGTCACAGCCATGCAGACATGAAAGGAGGCTGCGTGAGCCTGGTGCCGTGCCAGGCATCTCTGAGCAGCCGCTGTGTGCCAAGACGGCGAGGCAGGGAGAGCCGGCAGCGCCGTGCTGCAGATGCTGCCCTGCGGCTGCAGGCTTTGATATGTGCTGGAATCGAGCAGATGGCCCCCGGACCCCTGGCTAATTGAAAGCCCTGGATGGGGAGGGGGGGGGATGACAGGGGTGCCCCCCTCCCTTCATGGCACTACCTGGGGGTACCACCAACCTGGGGGGGCTTTTTATGGCTTTTTCTGAGTCACCGAGCCCCTCATCCTCTTTGTCTTCAGGACATTTCCATCCTTCCGCCCAGACCTCCTTTCCCCCTCTCAGCATTCCCTTTCCTAAGAGCATCTTCCTAGGCTCTCTCCATCACACTGCCTGCTTTTCATGGCTTGCTCAATGATTTTTTTTCCAGTGCTGAGCTAGCCCAAGTACTTGTATTTCCCCTGGCTGCTTGTCTTTCCCCTTCCCTTTCACTGTCTGATCAGCTCATGCCCACCTGGGAGACGGAGATCCCTGTATTGCAAAGGGGGTAGAGAGGGAAACTGAGGCACGGTGCCCTGCTGGGCAGTATGCAGCCCCATAGCTCAGCCCCCCACAATGCTCCTGAGATACTTTTATTTTATTTTATTTTATTTTATTTTTTAATAAAATCCTGTTGCTGGGGCTGGCCGCAGCCCTGACTCAGGCATCTCCCCCCACTCCTCCACAGTCTGCTACATCTGCTCACTGGTGCTGTGCTGCCTGCTGACCTGCGCCATGCTCCTGAGGACGCTGGTGATGCACAGGTATGGGTGTCCTTGCTCCTCTGGCCTTGAGCTCGTCACCGAGCCGGGATGCAGCTGGTCTCTCTCCCCAGGAACAACCTGAAGGCACTCTACCAAGGGGCCGTGCTGGATGTTTTCTACAAAGCCCATATCCTTCGCCCATCCCGACAAGCCATCGTCTGCTGGATGAGCTTCGCCGCCTTCCAGACAGCTTTTGCCTGCCTGGGTAAAGGGTGTTGGAGGGGGTGGGTGGGTGGTGGACCCCCACTTTGCACAGCCTACCCTGGATTTAAGCATCTCTTCCCCCTTTCTTGCCCTGTTTTGCAAAGGGATGGCTGCGAGGCTTTTGTTCCTCTTTCCCCAAACGCAATCTGTCCTTCTGTGGGAAGGGTCATGCTGAACACCAAATGGTTGGGGAGAAAAAAAAAAGCGAGGGGACACACACCGATGACTCTTTTTGGCTCAAAGCCAAATATTTTGATTTGAGAAGCTATCGCAGCACCTCGTGGACTGTCTGTCTCCTCCTCCGGTCCGGGTCTTCACATCCCGGGTACGCATCTTTCCCAGCACAGCCCAGGTCTCCCTGGCTGGGAGGGCTGGCCCACGGGAGGTGACTCTGAGCAGTGTTTGGGGTCATGCATGTGCAACACCTGACCATATCGGCACGCCAAGGCTATGCAGGAGAGTCAAGCTGAAGGTCTGGGAGGGGTGATGGAAGGACAGGGAGGACCGCTGGGTCTATTGGTGACCACCCCTTGGGAAAGCAGAGCTATTTTGCAGGCAGGTTGTTAGTGTGGAGGTAGGAGCTGGGAAGCACCCCAGGAGCTTCTTGCACCCCTTTTCCAGCAAGGAGCAGCTTTTCTTTGGCCACACAGTACTTGGTGCATCTGCGGCAGAGCTGGCTGCATCTCTACTGTGCTGCCATGAATCTACCTCCTGCTTAAAAACCTGGGTTTTCAAGTCATTAAAGCAAAGCAGCGGAGGTGAAGCACAAGCTCAAGCACAAGGAACCACAGCCACTGCTGATCTCGGTGTGATTTATGATTAGAAATCAGAGCTCAGGCTGATTTTTATGATGAGGCATCATAGTCGCAGCCCCAAGTGATGACTCTTCTCAGAGGGGGTAATGTGGGGAGCGATAAGAAAGGCTGAACTTGTAATTAAATCCTGTGTGGAGCATTGTGTTTGGAGCCGGGGAGGCAGGTAAGGATCTCGCAGGCTTTTTATGGGATTAAAATGAAAGATATGCTCAGCAACAAGGGGAATCAGAGCAAGAATAAGAACCGCTTCTCCATCCTCCCCCGCCATGGTTTCTCCCCCTGCGTCTCCCTCCCAGGTCTCCTCATCCAGCAAGTGATTTTCTTCATCTGCTCGGTGGGCTTTACCTTCCTCTTCATCATCCCGCTCCAGTCCGGCACAAACACATACCTCTTCAAAATCATTCAGAACATGTGGTGAGTGCTTGCAGCCCTTGGGGAGGGATGGAAGACCCAAGTGGGTGCCATGTCCATGGCCATAGTGTATTTTGGGGTATTCTGTCAAGGGGAGGCTCTATCTTGGGCTCTTTCAACTTTGCTGGAGGTTTCTGCTGCCCGGGATGGTGTCTCATGCTTGGGACCCTCCTGGTGTCCAACCTGCCTCTTCCCTCCCACCCAGGCCCTTCTGGTTGACCCTGGTTGTTGCCGTCATTGTGCAAAATTTGGCAGCTCACTACCAATTCCTGGAGCAGCATCCCCTTCGCAAGGAGCTCACCAACAGGTATGGGGCCCTGGAGTGCCTTTGGGGCAGAGCCGACCCTCCTGAAGCCGAGGAGCCTGGGCCTGTGTTGGATTTACACATTCCCCTGATGTTGTGGCATCCTCTGTGCCATGAGCTCAAGGGGGAAAGCCTGTGAGTTTGAGGGGTTTAAGTGGCTCCATGCTACCAGAGAGGTTTCTTTAGGTGCTTTAGAGGGCCATGGTCTGTTTACAGCCTTGATTTCAGTGGGGTGAAGCTGGTGAGGTCTGTGCCTTGCTCCACCACCCCTGTTTGCAAGCCCCAGAGGAAGCCCAGATCCCTCAGGATTGGCTGGACTGGTTCAGATGCTGCCAGTGGATGTGGTCCCTCTCTCACACGTGGTGTCACTGCCTAAGCTGTACGCGGAAGACCAGGGTGATGGACGGATCTAGGTGTCCTGCTCTGTCCAGCCAAGGCACTTCCACCACCTCCATCACTTGCCCGGCATCGCAGGGAGGCTGCTGTAGGCTTTTCTGACCTCCACAGGACCTGGTGTCCTCCATCCCAAACCACCAGGCTTATGCTTTGACTGGTTTCTAAGTCTTCGAGGAGAAATGGAGACCCTATGTATGCTGGAGGTGAAGCTTTGAAGCCCTGACGGTGCACCTGGCTGTCTCCTCCCTGACAGCCTTGAAGGGTGTTTGCTTCTCTCCATGGGACGGAGACACCTCAAATGGGGACTGTGTCTGCCGAGGAGGGAGGGAAGGGTGGGAGGCTTATTTTGGCAGGAGGTTTCCCTGGCAGGGAAGGGCCGTGCTTCCTGTCCCATGGTGTTTGTGTTCCTTATTCCTCCTTCTCCACCCGCAGGCGAGCTCTCTACATAGTCACCTACCTGCTCTTCCCCATCAATGTCCTGGTGGGTGTCCTGGCCGGTGTGTGGAGGATGGTCATTTCTGCCCTTTATAACGCTGTCCACTTCTCCCAGCTAGACATCAGCCTGCTGAACCGCAGTGTGGAGACCTTCGACCCAGGTAGGGCACGGAGGGTGTCCCTCTGCAGGACCTCTGTGAATGTGGGGGCCTTTCTCCCACCCCCGAGCTCCTGGGGGACATGGTGTGGGGCTCCTCCATCACCTGGGGCTGCCAGGACTGAGGGTGGCTTCAAACCACCTGCATTCAGAAATGGATAGGTGGGACAACTGGAACAAGTGGCTTCTCCTGATGCTTGCTGGGTCCTGCTTTTCCATCCACCCCCAAGGGTGGGTGATGCCCTTCTGGGGTCCCCTGGGCTTCACCAATGACCAGACCCTGTTCCCACGGGCAGCTGACCCTCATCTCTCCTGCACTAAAGGCAGCAGCAAGGGGACTTCAGCCCTTCCCTCTGCTTTTCCTGCTGGGATTTTGGGAGCGGAGCTCATTCCCAACTCTGAAGGCAGAGCAGCTCTGGCAGGGCAGAGATGGAGCCTGGCAAATAACCCTCCCCTTTGCTCCAGGGCAGGAGGGAGGGGGGAACCATGAAGTCTGGCCCCACCACAAGCATTTACCGTGGGCTGTGTTCCCTCAGGCTACCACACTTACTGCCACTATCTGAAAATCGAGGTCAGCCAGTCCCACCCGGTGATGAAAGCTTTTTGCTTGCTGCTCCTCCAGCTAGCCAGGCCAGAGGGGCCGCCGGGGCTCCGGGCCAGCAACGTGGAAGAAGGTGAGACCTTCCCACTGCTATCTGGGGGGGTGCACGGCCATCGCCGTGGGGTGGCAATGGGGTCTCCTCTGTGGATTTGCCACTCCTCTAGAGATGCTGGTGGTACCTTGGGGTAAAGAGACCGTGAGGGTTGTGGTTTTGGTGCCCTCTCCCTTTTTATGCCACCTCTGCTTGGTATGTGATCATCTCCATCCCAGGAGCTGCTCTTGTGTCTCTGTCTGTGCCAGGGCAGGATGGGGCTCCTCTGCTTTTGCCCCAGGGTGTAGATGGCATCTGGGTGGCCCCAGCGAGGGGGAGCTGGGGCTGAAATCCTTTCCCCCCCTCCCATCTCCTTTCAGGCATCCAGCTGATGCAGCCCAAGAAGGCACCTCCAAGCAGAGCCAGGTTCAAGCAGACCAGAGCCCGCTGGTGGCTGGCCTACACGCTCCTCAATAACCCCTCGCTGACTGCTTGCCGGAAAACCGCCCTCTCTGACCCCACAGCCAACGGCACCCAGCTCAGCTCCCCCAAGGCCTGACCTCCAGAGAAGCCCCCCACCTCCATCTGCCTCCCACGCACGCTCCCGTCCCATCCCGTCCCTGTCTCCTGTTGACTCTCCTCCTGCACTGGTAGGAGTTTTGGGCACCTCTTGTCCATCTCCAGCCTCTGGTCCCTCTTCAGCAGTGACGGGGGCTGGTTTTTAGCTCTAGGTCTATGCTGAGCCATTACCAAGGTCCAGAGGTGAAGCCAAATGGGTTACCTTCAAACCTGCCCTGAATGGAGAGGGGTTGATGAGCCAAGCGAAACCCTTCAGGCATCTCAGAAACATCTTAGGAATCACTCCTGTAATGAGCCCACCAGTTCTCAACAGTTGCCTTTCTGACATGTGGCAAGGCAGGCACAAGCCCCCAGCACCAGGGCAGTAACGAAAGAGGGAGAAGGTGTGTGTTTGTGTGTGTGAAGGGATCCTCAACCAGACTGAGCATGAGGAACTACCTGCATCTCAGTGTGGTCTCCCTGTGGAGAAGGTCCCCACTACCAGCTTCTCCCTTTCAGGTCTGATCCTGGCTCCCCTTGGGCACTATACCTAACCCTGGGACGTTTTTTTTTTCCTCTCCCCCACAGTTTTATGAAGGCTAAAATCCCTGTCTGCTCTGGCTCTGAGCTGTGAGGTTGCAGAGCCGTTTGTTTTCTGCTCCCCATAACTCTCATCCCCCTGGTGCCTCTTGCTGCCACCCCGTTTTGTTTAAAGCCAGCGGTTCCCCAGGGCTGGTGACCCTCCGAGTGAGCTGAGCTTGAATCCATAGAAAGCAGTTTTATACCTCACTTGGACGTGCCGAGTTGGGGAAGGTTAATAAATCACATACCTCATTCCTACGTTCGGGCTGTGCTTGGTCTCTTGGCCGTTCCCAAATAAGCCAGACCTGGCAGGAGGGACATGAGGACCACCATAGCCATATCTCTGAGTGGTGGTTGGGACTGACTTTGCTTTGACCATGTGGAGCAGAGGCTTTGCAGTAGGTCTGCTTGACCTGGACATGATGGGACCAAATCTGGGATCCCCCTCCCCACCTTAGGGAAATGTTAATGCAAAGCTGATAAATTTGCTTTCCCATCAAAACATTTGGCCCCTGAACCACAGCTCCCACAAAGGATGGGAACTGAAACAAGACATTTTGTGGCTAAAGCACCAAAGGTAAGTGTCCAATGTGTTGCCGGAACACCTCTTCCCATGACGTGTCCCTTGAAAGTCCTGCCTTTGTGGGCTGGAAGGATGCCTGGCATCAGGCCGCTGTTGCGGGCAGCAAGGAGGGCTTTTGGTAAGTTGTACTGGTGGCTCTTTACTCTTCCATCTCAATACCAACTCAACCACCTCAGCCTTGCTAAAGCAGGTGCCTTTGAGACTTTGCAACCCACCCTGCACGGAGCAGGGCTGCTGGGCCATCCCCTTTGCTCAATGGGGTTTGAGCCCTTCGTCCCAGAGATCTCCTTGGAGGCAAGCAGACCTGCTCTTCACAGGCTTTCAAGGACCTCATGCCCTCTTGCTGGGGTGCTTGCAACACCATCGGTGTGGTTTGGGGTGAGTGAGGCTGAGCCCTGTGCTTTGGGGTTTGCCTGGAGCGTCCTGACGTCTCCCCGCAACATTGAATCTTCCCGGGTGGGAGCCATCCCTTTCCCCAGGAGCCTGCCCCCCTCCTTTTCTATCCGAGTGAAGAAAGCGGGGGCGGGGGGGGTGTCCCTGCCTTCAACTTCTGCCTGTTTATGCTGCCCCAGCAGCCACCTGCTGTGCTTGGATGCTCAAAACCCTGTCGCATCCACTGTCCACTAATCAAATACGATTAAAACAGCACTGTCTTAATCGTATTTGATTACTGTCTGGCACATAGTACAATGTCATCTAACTGGGTGACGGCGATGGCACCGGAGGCAGGTCTGGGTCGTTTTCTTTTTAAGACAGCAGGAGCCCAAGGTGTAATTTCTGCTGCTTTCCCCGCTCTGGGCTTTGCGGTGTGCGTGCTTGGGTTTGCACATCTGAGCGTGGGAGAGATGCGGTGCTGGTGGGTGCTGGATGTCCTGCGTGTATCGTGTAAAGGGATGCCCTAAATCAAAGTCTGTGCCTTTCCCTTGCAGCCCATCCCAACCCATCTCCAGCCTCCCAGGCGCTGGGGCTTTGACGGCAGCCTTGGTAATCCCTAAAATCTTTGGCAGCTCTGGGCCATGGGTGGAACTGGATTTCTGCATCTGTTTACACAGCCCTGCCCGAGGCTTCCTGGAGATGTCTTGGCAGGCGGCAGGCTGGGGCCGAGGTGAGAGATGACAGCCCTGGGAGGAAGATGGGAGATGGCTTCATTGCTTTGCTTGTTTTCTTTCCCTTCTTTGACACAAGCAGGGTGCCCTGGGGGTGAATTGAGCTGCTGCTCTTCATGGTGGCTTCTCAACTCTTTTCTAAACCCCCACCATCAGTATGGACATGGGATAGCTCTGTCCCTGCACACCCGCAGTCCTCTCCACCCAACCCCTGAACCCATCAATAGTGAGGCGGTTCAGGGAGCCCTTAATGAAAAATTGCCCGTGAATGGAAATTCAGGTCTGGGTTGTGCTGTAGCTTTGCAAGCGAGCGAGGGACAGAGAGGAGCTGATGGGGGTTGTGGCATCCCAGCCTTGCAGCAGCTGGTGGCCACAGTGGGTCAGGATGGTGATGCCAAGTGCACTATCACCTGCAGCATCCAACCCAGGAACCACGTGGCAGGGTGCCCTCTTTGTTATGAATGAGCGATGCTTAATATGGCTAATAACTTGCTACAAAAGCTATGAGTAAACTAGGCGAACGTGGAGGAATTCACCTTTCTGGCAACAAAACACCAAAGCTAGGGGGGAGCAGCAGCTCTGCGAGGTGGGCAGAGACTTTCAGGCATGGCTTAGGGCTGCTGGGAGCTTAAATCTTATTGTTTACCCGTATCCCAGGCTCCAAATCCTGTTCCCAGCTGAGTTTGCAGGAATAAGCTCCTGTACCCCCCCTATTCCCAGGCAGGGAAGGGAGGACCCCAGCTGGGATAAAATTCACGTTAACAGCTGTATCCTACAAAATGAAACCAAAACTCTCATTGGGGCCGTGATGTTTTTCATCCTTTCTGCCCGTAATGGGAAAAATATGTGCCTGCCTGTTAGCAGTAAAGGCCGTTCGTGCGAGGAGCTGCTGGCTGGTTCTGCCTGGGGACCCCCACAGAGACCTCGGCGCCATACCCGGACAATGTTGATGTTGGCATACGGCAGCTCCTCAACTGCCCCTTTCCTTGCCCTGTGAGCTGTCTGGACATTGAATCGTGGGGTTGGAGAGCTTATGTAGAGGCTTGAGGCTCCGGGACAGCTGCTTTTCAGCCGATTTTGGCATTGGTGCCTTCCCCCGCCTGTTGCAAGCAGTGATGGGGGAAGTTTTGGGTAACCTATAGATGCATCCTCCCTCCAGGGTCATCGTGGGGCGTTGCTACAGCACTGGAAGGGCTTTGGGGGAACTGGAGGCAAAAGGGGTTCCCCTTGAGCAAAGAGGATTGGTGATGAGCTGTGGTACCCCAGATGCTGTTGGGTCTGGGGGATTTTGGGGGTGCACAGAGGCAGCATGCACTGGCTTGTTTAAAAAAAAAAAAAAAGGTATTTATTGCTGTCCGTACAGTTTTGGTTATAAGGCGAGGGTGGCTGCAGGGGTCTGTCCAGCTCCTGCAGGCGAGCACTGGCAGAAGGCACGAGAGCTGGACCGCCCATGCCTCGGGGTCGGGGAGATGCTCAGCTCCCTGCCATGAGACAAGGGGTTCCCCAGCACCCTGGGGCAGCCGGGTATGGTCCATATGTCCCGTGTGGGAATGCTAAAGCACTTAAAGAGTGTGTTTATGGCTTATAGGTCAGCTCAGCTTCTCTCTCTGTCATCTGGGTTTTCCCGATCTTTCTTCCTCCTGCTCCATCATGCAGCCCCCACTCACTTTCCCATCAGAGGAGCGCTGGGAAATTACTTTGGTCTCTTTGAGCTCAATCCCTCCCTGCTGGGGTTGGAGCCAGAGCAGGGCAGCTCGGTGGGTCCAGCCCAGCCGAGCATTTTGGACTGCAGGCTTCACCAGTGAAAGGGAAGGGGGGGGCGCGGAAATCAGCTGCATCACATCTGGGAGAGGTACTGAGGGTAGCAGGGCCTGATCCTGCAACATGCAGGGAGGCTGCAGGCACCATGGGTGCTCCCAGCACCTAGCCAGCAGGAGCCTTTTGTGCTCCTGCAAGGATGAAGCCTATGCAAAAGCTTCTCCTGCTCCACAAAAGTGGCCTGATCCAAGCCTGTGGCACCATCCAACGTGTCCTACTGCACCCATCCTGCTTACAAAGCACCATCATATCTCTGTCCCCCAGAGCCATGTGCCCTGGGAACCCATGCCCAGGCTATTCCCCCACTCTCAGACTGATCCTGCTGCTTCCCGTGAGGCTGGTGGTAAGAAGGATGGACCTGGCCAAGGGCCCGCGCACTTGTCATGGTGGGGATGTCATTTTTGGTGCTGCTGGACCAATGGGACCCTCTTTGTGAGAGATCCCCTCCCTGGGCACAGCTTGCTGCTGCGGGTGGAGGAGGCCTTACGGTGGTGGGCTCTGGGGATGGGTGATGGTCACCCTGTTGAGGGTGGACTTTAATCCTACAGCTGCACTTTGGTCTCAGGAGGGAGATAAGTCAGGACGTGGCAAATTCCGACACCTAGAAAGCGGCAGCATAGTGAGGATCTGCTCTGCATCACCCGAGCTTGTTTGAAGCTCTCAACTAATGGAGCCCAGCCCTGACCCCATGTAAGAAGGGGTTGATCTACCAGCCCTGGGCCTGAGTCTTGGCCCCCTTTGACTCCTGACCACCCGCAGTTCCCAGAAGCTCAGCAAAGGCATGGCACTACGTGAAGATAAATGCTACAGAAAGAGGGGGAACCCCCGAGGCACCGTTTCCTTCTCCCCCCTTTAACAGCAGACCGTGATGCCCAAAGCCAGCAGGAGGGTCCCCAGGCTGACCCGGGGCACCGCTCCTCCAGCTCTGCTCTTCGACTCCCTCGGCATGTGGTAAACAATCACCAGCTTTTCTCCAGCACCGGAGGGATCCATTTCATCCCCCTTGTAGCAGCTCTGACCCCCGAGGTGGCTGGCTTGGGGGTCATCTCGGAGCAGGTCTTCAGCTGGATTCTCTGACCCAGCCAAGGCCACGTTGACCGAGACATCCCGCGTGCCCACGTCATTGACAGCGAGGCAGGTGTAGATGCCTTCGTTCTCCTTGCTGAAGTTGGGGATGGCCATGGTGCCGTTCTTGAAGACCAGGAATCGCTCTTGGCTTTGCTTGATGCTTCCATCCCGTGCCACGTTGGGCCCGTTGATCTCAATGCGGCGGCTGGAGGTCTGGATCTTCCACCTGATCTCTGGTGGAGGGCTGCCCGCCACGCTGCAGTGCAGCGTCAGGGTGAGGCCATCGTACATGACGGTGTTGTCCAGGTTGGAGAGGTAGGTGAGCTGCACGGAGGGGGCAATGCAGTGGTGGTCGGGGATGTCCGTCACCGCCCTGCCCTTTAGCCTGCCAGGAGCCACACACAGGGTAGACCCCCCCTTGGTGATGGAGACGGAGGTGTTCTCGGTCCACTTCTTCAGCCAGAAGACCTTGCAGGAGCAGTTGAAGGGGTTGTTGAAGATCTGCAGCTGGGACAGGGAGGGCAGGTTGTCAAAGGTGCCCTCGGCCAAGGTGGTCAACTCATTGTCGTTGAGCCAGAGGGAGCGCAGGTCCTTCAAGGCACGGAAAGCATCCCGGGGCAGCCCAGCCAGGCGGTTGTTGTTCATCTTTAGGATCTGCAGACCGCTGAGGTTACGCAGGTCCTGCCAGGGGAAATCCGCAATCTTGTTGTGGCTCAGGTCCAGGTTCTTCAGGTGCACCAACAAGGCGAAAGCCCCCGGTTCCACCACCCCGATCTGGTTGTAGCCCAACCACAGCGACTGCACTTCGGGAACCTCAGCAAAGGAGCCTTGCCCCAACCAGCTGATCCGGTTAGCTGACAAGGTGAGGATGGTCACGTTGGAGGACAACCCCTCAGGTACCTCCTGGAGGTCCTTGTAGGCACACTCGGCCAACAGCCGCCCATTCTTCTTGGTGGAGCAGGAGCAGGCGCTGGGACAGGCCAGGCAGGGCCCCAGGAGCACAGCCAGCCCCAGGCAACAGAGCAGGGGCCTCATCCTTGCTTCTGGGAACAGAGATGGGGGAGAATGAACGGGATGGGTCTAGCCGAGGTGGGGATCTGCTTTTTCTCGCCAAACACTAACAGGAAGCAGCAGAAAAGCGAAGCATCCATGTGATTAACCCCAGCACTTCAGCTGGAAATGGCTGTTTGAAATATTTCCTAATCTGAAGAAGGCATTTCCTTGCCAAGAGCAGAGCCTTTGACTACCTCATGTGAGCAGGCAACTTCCCCTAAACCCTTTCTGTCCTCCACTAGAAAATGCCTCTTTTTGATCTTTGATGAAATACTCCCCCCTCGGGATGCTGCTTCCTCAGGTTTGGGGATGAAAAGTGGGAGCTGGGGGTTTAGGGTTCACCCTGCTGAGGCTGGAATTGGGAGAAACAGAGCAACCACAGCTCTTTCACAACCAGCCTTCCCCTAAACTATCGAGTTGTTGAGATTTTCAGCATGCTTTCAAGCCTCAAACCAACCCCCCATCTCCACATTTTTCCATGTCATGGAAAAACCCAGCTTCTCGAGTGCTTTTTCTCAGCAAGAGAGTGTGGGGTCCCTGGCTGCTGGAAGTCTTTAGAGCAAAATATTTCTGAGCTAACTCCTTACTCCCCTTCTTCTTGCCTTGTGCGTGCTTGGTTCCTGGCGTCTGCAAGCTGTGTCCCACCAGGGAAGAGGTTAACTGCGGCTCTGCGAGGAGCTGGCAGCGAGACCCCTTTGTCTCTGCCTTGTAGGCAAGTTTTGCTGCTCCTTCCAGTCCCTTACCCTGTCATTTAGGGCAGGAGGGGGGAGACGTTTTATTGGCTATAGACAGGCTGAATTAAGACCTGCTCAACAACTGGGGGGGGAGGGGGGGGGCAAAAGGGGGTCTGTCCTGCAGGGATAGACCACCCCAGGGCTGGGATTCAAGGGATAGAGAAGGAGCCCCGAGGGCTCTGGGGGTGATGGAGGAGCT